AGAGCATTTGCCTGTGACTAAGATTAAGGGTGATGGACTAATTAATCTGGAAGAAGAAATTTCAAAGCAGTTGAATGTTGAGGCTGTGGCATGGCTATTGTTAGGGGCTTTTGTCCATATATATGTTGAGAATCAAAAGCAAAAAGCCCAGCAGAATGACTTAAAATGTAGTTTGGCCAGAAAGAAAGTTCCAGTAATGCTGTGGACTACAAAAATAGAGCTGAAGAGATCTCCATTACTGAGAAGGAACAGAATATAAAAGATGCCCTGAGGGTGTCAGAGAAGCAGCAAATATCAACCCTTTGCAGCCTCAAAGCTGCAAAAGTGAAAGAGTGCTTTGGGGAGAAAGTTGCAGAGTGCTACATTCCAGAATGGCAGTGGCATAGAAAATTTGTTTGTTAGAATTGGATTCAGAGTGCTCAGCAGTCTGGGCACTCAACCTCTACAGCCAAGAGAGAGGAAAGCTGGCTACTGCTCCAGCTGGCAGCAGACCTTGGCATCATCCATATGGTGCTGATGTTAGGTGTCTGCAGAATGTATGAGTTAATAGGGTTATAAAGGCTTCCACCTTGATTTCAGAAGGCCTAGGAGGCCAGCCAGTATATCTCTGCAATATGTGAAGCTGCTAGTGTGCAGCAGAAGGTGCAATGGAGACCCCAGAAGTGTGGAAAAGCAAGGAAGGTGGATCATTAAGGAAAGCTGCAAGGAGGGGGCAAAACAGGTCTAAGATTGAAGCCATGGGTGCTGTAACCACCAGAAGTGTCTTCGTGGCAGAACCACACAAGCCCTTTTAAGCTCAGTTTGCCACAGATTGCTTCAGATTCTGGACATGGAACTACAGGGCTTAATGTTTGCCTTGCTGGATTTTGGACTTGCTGTGATCCTAATTCTTTGTATTCCTCTGTTTGTAACTTTTGGAATGAAAATGTTTATTTTGTGCCACTGAATGTTGGAAGTGTTTAACTTTGCTTTTATTTGTATGGGGGTTTGCAGCTAATAGTTTGCCTTACATCTTGACTTGGGACTTGGACCTTTCTGAAACTGTTAGGACTTTGGCGACTTTTGCAGATGGACTAAATGCCTCTTGCATAACGGAACTTACATGCGTCTTTGGGAGGCAGGGGCAAATTGTTATGGTTCTAATGTAATAAAATGTTGATAGACTTAATACTGGTTCATAAGGATTGTTAAATCTGTGTTATAGGGGCTGGGGATTTAGCTCAGCGGCCTAAGTGCCTGCCTTGCAAGCAGGCAGTCGTGAGTTCGATCCCTGGTACCGATAAAAACGAAAAAGACAAAAAAAGAAAAAAATCTGTGCTATAATATTCAAGCTGTGAAGTGATAAGAATATGCATATTTTTATATTTGGAAACTGGGTTACAGAAATGTGTCTGGTTACCAAGTTGTTGAGGGGTAAATTTTAATGGTTGATACATTATGTCAACTTGAGAAGTTTAGAAGTATAACAGAATGACTCAGCAGGGAGCCAGAGTCTTTATTTTGTAAACAGCCTCAGCCTTTGCAAGGGGAAGGCATGGAGGTGATCTGAGCGCTACCCGGACTCTGCTGGGGGAGCGGTGGTAGCTGGCTTACAATATGAGGAAGGAGAAGAGGCTTATCGCCCCTTTTGCTCTTGCTGCTTCTGCTGCCTTCTGCCACTTTGAAGTGTTTTTCTTGTGCTGTGCCAGCCTGCTTTGAAGACAGCTGATTATGGACTGAAATGTTTACAAACAGTGAGCTAAATATACCTTTCCTTCCTTAATTTTGGATGTTGGGTATTTTGTCTCAGCAAGAGACAAAATAGTATAGATTTCTATACTATACAGCAAATCAGTTCTAGACAGAAGAAAAACTTAAAAACTAAAAGAGTCAAGCTATTACAATAGGGGAATAACTAAATAAATTGTGGTATATTCATGTGTGTGAATTACACCTGTCAATATGGAGCAATTTTAGAAGCACACAAAATACTTAAAAAGCATCATGTTGTGTGAACAGATCAAGTCTAAGAAGGAACATGAAGCTAAACCAAATAATACATTTTGATGTACACATATTAAAGGTATAAAATTAAAAAAAAAATCTCAACACGAAATTCAGATGATGCTTATTTTCAGGAGACAAAGGCAGTGCCAGAGTAGAGGAGAGGCAGAAAACTAAAGGAATACTGCCCAGAGGAACTGCTGAAGAAATGAAGGCCCTCTATTATGGTTTGTATCTGGATGTCATCCCAAAGCTTCATGGTAGGATGGGTTTTCAAGACAGCCTGTTAAGCCTGGGCCTCTTGTTTTCATGTCATCGTCTCAGGAGACACAGTGACCGCATTTCCAGTTTGACTCAGAGGGGGCCAGGCTCCTCACTTTATAAACATCCTCAGCCTGCGCAAGAGGAAGGTATGACGATGGTGTGGGTTCTACACCTGTGCTAAGGTGGGTAGCCTGCACATAATGTAAGGAAGGACGAGCAGCACGCTCTTTCCCTTTTTGCCCTTGTTGCTTTTGCTGTCTTTCACCACCGTGAACTGTTGCCCCTCTCCCACGCCACCCTACTTTGGAGACAGCTGATTACGGACCGAAACCTCTATAAACTGTAAACTAAATCAAACTTTTCCTCTTTAATTTTGAGTGTCAGGTATTTTCTCCCAGCAACGAGAAAAGTAATTGAGACACCTCCCAACACTATGCTAGACTTTCAGGTGCAGAGGGGATTTGGAGTAACTGTCACTAGTTCTAAGAGTAGTAAGAGTGGCATTGCCCATATCAAGGGATTCTAGGTGGCTGCGCGAGGAGGACTTCTTATCCTTCTACATAGTCTTTCTTTTCTTCTTTCCTTCCTGCCTTTCTACCCCCCCATCCCTCTCTCTCTCTCTCTCTCTCTCTCTCTCTCTCTCTCTCTCAATTCTAATGCTTAAGAAAATATTCAAGGCTGTGAGGGTCATATGGCTACAGTCTCACCCCAGTGTTGATTTGGCTGGCTAGGTGGGTGTCCCCTTCCTTCCTCAGTGCTTTGTGTGTACCCCTCCTGAAGCTGGGCACTTGGTTGAAGAGGAGGACCAACAGAGGAGGACCCTTTCCTCCAGCAAGTGTATATGAGTAGCTGTGCTCCCTGGCTAGAAATCCAAATAAGTTCTCAAGAAAAGATTAGAATGAGGAAGAAGAAAAGGTGAAAATGAGATAGAAGATTAGGGTGTGGCAGAGCTGGCTGGGAGAATGACCTGTTAATCACAAAGATCCTGCTACCTATGCTAGAGCAGTTCCCTTCTGTCAAGAATTTGAGCATGTTTTCCATAGGACCTGACCTCGGCCTGAGGCATGGGATCCCAGCATTGCCTCTCAGCACATGTATATAGAATTTCTTGAGGTTTCCCGGGGATTTGGACAACATATAAGGACACAGATGTCAAGAGGAGATTGCTATCCCAACTTTACTCAGAGCAGCCTGCCCTACTTCCTACACAGTGTCATTTTATGTTACTTTTTAGACTTGACTTGTTCTGCAAAGCCAGTTTTTCTCTCATTCTTCACTTTTACTTTATTGAATAAACTCTGCACTGCTTTTTTTCTTGTTTTGTCCAATTCTTTGTTTGGAGCAACAGGAACCCAGTAAAGTTAATCAGTGAGCAACTTTTAGAAGGAACTATCCAATACCAGAAAAGTTCTTGGGCCAACAGGACATGTGTTAGAAAAACCAAAGAAAACCACAGTGATTTTACTGTAGATTTGAAAGACTGAAGCCTGATGAGGAAGGGCCTTTTGAATGCTAGGAAGGAACTTAGATGTTACTCCAAAAGGAACCTTACAAAGTTCTCTGAATGAGAGCTCAACCCTTGTTCAGAATACTCTCAGTTCTGAACCTCTATTGGTTATGGATTTAAGTAAACTGTAAACCTATTTGTGTGCTTCCTGGGCTCGCACTTGCACAGGCTTGATGATTTTTTTTCCATCACAGCACCTAACATTATGCCTTGCAAGAAGTCCAGTGTGGAATAAATTAATGAATTCTCACCCTTCCTTGCCTCTGACTACCTAGATATCTGACTTTGGCCTCTTGCTGACATCATAACTTTGGGGTCCCAAATCTTTGGCATATCAAATTGAAGTTTTAGTTTTTCTCCTGATCCTTGTTCCTGGCTTTTTGCTCGTATTTCCTGCTTTGGAGCTAACCTTTCTATATTTCTCTAGTTTCTCAAATAGAGCAAAGTAATAGGCTCTTATCACAGATGTGCTATTCCCATTTTTAAATATTCTAATCCTCAAGAGAATGATCAGTTTTTTAAAAAAACATAATTTGAATATAAGAAGTTAATATTAGTATTGAGATTGTATTCATATGTTAATCTTTTAAAAAGTGATATCATAAGTTTTCTACAAAGTCTGGAATGTCATGTATTGATGTCATGAATTTATGTGGAAAGCCACACCACTAAAAAGGTATCTAAAAAATAATTCTAGAGATCACTGATGTTTGCTATAGAGACAGAAAGTTCTATAGTTCTAGTGAAAAAATACTATCAGCATTTTTGTGTTATTTATGTTTCCTATTTTCGTCTCCCCTCCAAGTGAGCTGCCTGATGTATATAGCACAGTGACATGGGACAAGACATGTAATGATAGCTCAATGCACATATCATATACAGATTTCTACCTCAGAAGAACAGGGTACATTCATTTGGACAGAGTGAATGGTTCCATCTGTTTAGACTCCTGTAACAAAATACCATAAACAGGGAAGTCTAGAGACAACAGAAATGTATTTCTCACTGTTCTGGAGGATGGGTAGTCGAAAATCAAAGTGTCAGCAAATTTAGTTTCTGACAAGCAACTACTTCTAAGATAACAATATATAATTTATTAAATAGTGATTTCTTACTTTTTTTTGAAATTCTGTATTATTTCTACCCTTTTTCTGTTTTGCCTTTTTTCTTTAAATAAAAAAAGAAAATTATTGAAACAAGTAGGTTCAAAATTCAGAATGTAAAAACCAATCTAATCACTAATTACCTGGAATGTATCAATTTTCCAAAATGCATATTGTTGAAATTCTTGGTGTGTATAGTTTGCTGAGGTTCATTTTGAGGTACATAGGCAAAAAAGAGTACTTCATCAGGGGAGATATACTGCATAGCAAGTGCAGTCTCAAAGCCCATATCAGGAACCTGGCATTAGAAAAAAGGAAAATACTGCATTTAAATGATTTTATACTTCAATTGTGGCAAAATTCAAATAACAGATTTGTTTCTTTTTTTTTTTTTTATTTAAGAGGAAAAAGAGAAAAACACAAAACAAACCAAAGCGGCGTAAGGGTACACGCAATACAGAACTACAAAACAAAACAAAACAAAACAAAAAAAACATAACAGTAAGAAATCACCTGCTAGTAGATTACACACTATCTTCTTGAAAATAGTTCCTCAAATCACAGTATCAAAGAACACAAGGTGGACATTCAAACAGGGAGACTGCAAACAGCTGTGTTCAATGTTCCAAAAACATTGATAAAGTCAGCTATTTAACACCCCCAAACACACTTGCTGTTATATCCGTTAGAGCTCTTTTTCTTTTTTTTTTCCCCTCTCTTTTTTACAACAAAATTTACACATCTTGGATTTTATTACTCCTTAGTGCTTATTACTTTTTTTGGGGGGGGGGAAGAATACAGTCAAATATGGCAAAACAAAGCTGTCAGTCAATACCAAGGATAGACATAGCACATGGTGTAGAACAGAGTACAAGTTTATCAACAATGGTTATCAACGTTGTCCCTTGTTTCCTTAAAAAGAATTGTCTATCTTATTAGATATTATAAAGTTGGACAAAACAGTAGAGAACAAGACAATAAAACTTAGGCATTGTAAACATTACAGGACTTCCAAAGAAGACAATAGTCAAACCAGAATGGGTATCTTAGTGAATCTTATTGTCTTCAAAGTAGTTGCCTATGTCTTCAAACTTGATACTATCATATAGAATGGAACAGAGTCTAATCAGTCAAAACAAGATCGTGGGAGTACTACAGGACTTCAAAACAAGTTAATAGGAAATCGAAAAGAGTTACTATTTATATATCCTAATTTTTTTGAATTTTTTCTTTAATTAAGACAAACATAAGAAATGACTAAATAATTTTTTTTGAAACAATAAGGGGGAGATTGAGATAAAACAGGACACAACAATATAACAATAGAGGTCACAGCATGACTGTTTCAACAACCTAGTACTTCACCACCTTATAACCTGACTTAATAGTAGTTACCATAGTGTCTTTTTCCTTGAAATATTTGGATAAAACTTCATATACTCTAGCTTCAAATATTTTCATATCAAGAAGCCCAGAATAAAGCCTTTCTAATTAATGAGTGAAAACTTTATAAGGCTTCAAGGCCACCTAATGGGGAATCATGATTACCACATATTTTTATATATTTGAATCATTATTTACATTAGGGAAACTATTCGGTATTGACACATGCGAGATTTATTTATTTCACTAATGAGTATGGTCTCAAGCTGCGCCCATTTATTGATAAATATCTCAATGTGATCCTTCTTTATAGCTGAATAATACTCCATTGTATAGAAATACCACAACTTTTTTATCCATTCCTCAGTTGATGGGCACTTGGGTTGTTTCCAAGATCTGGCGATTACAAATTGTGCTGCTATAAACATAGGTGCACATATATCACTGTGGTATGATGCTTTCAGTTCTTCTGGGAATATGCCTAGAAGTGGAATAGCTGGAATAAATGGGATTTCCAGTCCCAACTTTTTGAGAAATCTCCAGACAGATCTCCACAAAGGCTGTACCAGTCTACACTCCCACCAGCAGTGCAGGAGAGTTCCTTTTTCCCCACAGCCTCTCCAGCATTTGTTGTCGGTTTTCTTGATCCTGGCCATTCTTTCAGGAGTGAGATGGTATCTCAGTGTGGTTTTAATTTGCATTTCTCTAATGACCAATGATGATGAGCATTTTTTCATGTATTTATTTGCCATTTGCATTTCTTCATCTGAGAATTGCATATTCATCTCAGATGCCCATTTTTGGATTGGATCTTTGAATTTCGGAGGTCTGAGTTTCTTTAATTCTTTATATGTTTTAGACAAGAGGCCCTTGTCTGAGAGAGAGTTCACTAAAATCTTTTCCCAGTTTGTGGGTTTTCTTTTCACTATGCTGGAGATTTCTTTTGGCATGCAGAAACTTTTTAATAAGAAGTGGTCCCAGTTATTGATTCTGGGAAGTATTTCCCGTGCGGTTTGAGTCCTGTTCATGAATTCTTTACCTACTCCTATGTCTCCAAGGTTTCTACCTATTTTGTCTTCCAATAGATTTAGTGTTTCTGTTTTAATATTCAGATCTTTGATCCATTTAGATTTTAATTTAGTACATGGTGATAGACATGGGTCTAGCTTTAGTTTTCGGCAAATGGAGAGCCAGTTTTTCCAGCACCATTTATTAAAGAGACTGTCGTTCTTCCAGTGAACCTGCTTGGCTCCTTTATCAAAAATAAGGTGGTTGAGTGTGTTCGTAGTTGTGGTTGTATCTTCTAATCTATTCCACTGATCTTCAGCTCTGTTTTGATTCCAATACCATGTTGATTTTACTACTGTTGCTTTGTAGTATAACTTCAAGTCAGGGATTGTGATGCCTCCTGCTTTGTCTTTGCTGCTTAGAATTGCCTTTGCGATTCTAGGTCTCTTCTGGTTCCAGATGAAATTTAGGAGTGATTTCTCTAGATCTATAAGGTATGTTGATGGTATTTCTGTTGGGATTGCATTGAATCTGTATAACAGTTTTGGGAGAATGGCCATTTTCACAATGTTTGTTCTTCCTATCCATGAGCAAGGGATGTCTTTCCATTTTCTGAGATCATCTTCAATTTCCTTTTTCAGTGTATTATAATTTTCACTGTATAAGTCTTTCACTTCTTTCGTAAGAGTAATTCCTAAATATTTCATTTTTTTGCTTGCTAATGTGAATAGTCCAGTTTCTCTTATTTCCCTCTCTGTAATTTTGTTGTTCGTGTATAGGAATGCTATTGATTTCTGAGTATTGATTTTGTATCCAGCCACATTACTGAATTTATTTATTGTATCTAAGAGTATTTCAATGGAGTTTAGGGGGTCTTCTATGTAGAGTATCATGTCATCTGCAAACAATGATAATTTAACTTCTTCTTTTCCTATCTTTACCCCTTTTATTTCTCTTTCTTGCCTAATTGCTCTGGCTAGTACTTCCAGTACTATATTAAATAGGAGTGGTGATAAAGGACATCCTTGTCTTGTACCCGATTTTAAAGTAAAGGCTTTCAATTTTTGGCCATTTAGTATGATGCTGGCTGTTGGTTTGTCATAAATGGCCTTTATTATATTGAGGTAAAGACCATTTATTCCAATTTTCTGTAAAGTTCTTATCATGAATAAGTGTTGGACCTTATCGAAGGCTTTTTCTGCATCTATAGAGATGATCATGTGATTCTTATTTTTGGCTTTATTGATATGGTGGATTACATTTATTGATTTGCATATGTTGAACCATCCTTGCATTCCTGGGATGAATCCCACTTGGTCATGGTGTATAATCTTCTTGATGATTTGCTGGATCCTATTTGCCAATATTTTATTGAGGATTTTTGCATCTGTGTTCATTAGGGAGATCGGTCTCTTTTATAGTTGGGTCTTTCTCAGGTTTTGGTACTAGAGTAATATTTGCTTCCAGGAATGACTTAGGAAGGATTGCTTCCCTTTCAATTTCATTGAATAGTTTGAGGAGTGTCGGCATTAGGTCTTCTTTATATTTCTTGTAGAATTCTGCAGTGAATCCATCTGGGCCTGGGCTCTTCTTGGTGGGCAAGGACCCAATTACATTCTCAATTTCATTAGCAGAGATTGGGTTATATCCTCTTGATCTAGCTTTGGTACTTCATATGCTTCTAAGAATCTGTCTATTTCTTCTGTGTTATCAAACTTTTGAGAGTAGAGGTTTTCGAAATAGGTGTTGATGATCCTCTGTATTTCTATTGGGTCTGTAGTGATTTCTCCTTTTTCATTTCTTATTGCATGAATTTGAGCTTTTTGTTTCCTTTTTTTAATAAGGTTGGCTAGGGGCTTATTGATTTTATTTATTCTTTCAAAGAACCAACTCTTTGATTCGTTGATTCTTTGGATTGTTTTCTTAGTCTCTATTGCATTGATTTCTGCTCTGATTTTTATAATTTCCTCTCTTCTCTTGGCTTTGGGCTTGACTTGCTCTTCTTTTTCTAGCTGTTTGAGGTGTAGCATCAAGTTATTTATTTGTATTCGTTCTGTTTTCCTGATGTGGGAACTCAGTGCAATAAATTTTCCTCTCAGAACGGCTTTCATTGCATCCCACAGATTCCGGTAAGTTGTATCTGCATTTTCATTTTCTTTTAGGTATTGTTTAATTTCTTCTTTAATTTCTTCTGTGACCCACTGATTACTCAAGAGTGTGTTATTTAGTTTCCATGTGTTTGCGGAATTTTTGCAGTATCCTTTGTCATTAATTTCTAATTTCAGAGCGCTATGATCCGATAATATGCAAGGGATGATTTCAACTCTTTTGCATTTGCTTAAATATGTTCTGTGAGCTAATATATGGTCTATTTTAGAAAATGATCCATGTACTGCTGAGAAGAATGTGTATTCTGATGTTGTTGGGTGGAACATTCTGTAAATATCTATCAAACCCATTTGTTCACAGGTATGATTCAGTTCTGTTATTTCTTTGCTCATTTTCTGTCTGGTTGATCTGTCCCTTGGTGTCAGTGGTGTATTAAGGTCTCCTGTTACAATTGTGTTACTGATAATTTGAGTTTTCATTTCTGTTAATAATTGTTTTATATAACTGGGTGCTCTGGAGTTTGGTGCGTATATATTTAAGATAGTTATCTCTTCCTCTTGGAGTTTTCCCCTTACGAGTATGTAGTGACCTTCTTTGTCCTTTATGGTCATTGTTGGTTTAAAGTTCACATTGTCTGCAAACAGAATGGCTACTCCTGCCTTTTTTTGGATTCCTGCTGCATGAAGAATTGTTTTCCATCCTTTGACTTTCAGTCTGTGAGTATCTTTCTGGGTTAGATGGGTTTCCTGTAAACAGCATATGGTTGGATTTTGTTTCTTGATCCATTCTGCTAGTCTG